CTCACCCGGTAGTTGATTAAAGGTTTTCTCTGATCTGTATAGATGATCTAAGTATATTTCACTCTCACTAATTGTCTCAAAATGTCTTTCTCGTATACTTTTTTATGTATCCTCGTACAATTTCATTTTATCTAATCTTGCCAGATCTGCTTCATTCCCGGATGGAATAACATTATTGACTTCCCAACAGCCGTCTAAAAAATCATGTAGCGGAATACAGTATCGGTTTCGTATTGGCAAATGATCTGAATGTCAACTTGTATGTAAAATATTCCGTATTACTACTTTTCTCGTTTTGATTAATTACTCGATCACTTTTTTTGTTAAAATTTGGTCTTGAAAATTTTACGTTTTTCTGATTCGTACCAGGTATTTCGTTTTATGTTATTATTTTATGTTAATTTATTTCGTCGTCGTTATCATCGTCAAGTTTGTCAGAGATTGGAAAAATTCTCTTGAGTCATTGTCCGTTATTTCCGCGGCTTACACAACTATTGGTTCAAAATTATTTTCGTATTGTACTACTTTGTCAGTGCGATTCACTGCTTCTAAAATATATTTTGGGCTTATATTGCGTTTCGTTAACTCTTCTACAATAAGCAGTAAAAGTGAATCTTGACATGTATTCATTATTAATTCTCCATTTATATAAAGTTCTAAAATTTTTATTAATTTATCTAGTTGTTGTTGTTTTTTACTTTCTGTTTCAAAACATACATTCTAACGAGCATGCAGAAATCTTATGAATTTCAATAATGTTGGTTCTCTACCGGTTATGAAATTTGCATCTACTTTTCCTATATACGAGGGTCGTTTGAAAAGTCCGTGCAAAAATAAAAACTGCTTGATTTTTTTTAATAAATCTTTTTTATTTTTCAACACAGTCTCCTTTTAGGCCTATACACTTCATCCAACGCTGCTCTAGTTTGTTAATCCCTTCCAAATAATAGGATTTGTCCAAGTCTGTAAAATAGGCATTCGTTTCTGCAATCACCTCCTCGTTTGAATAAAATCTTTTCCCCACCAGCCATATTTTCATATTACGGAACAAATAGTAGTCCGACGGAGCCAAGTCTGGAGAATAGGGGGGATGTGAAACGAGTTGGAACCCTATCTCCATTATTTTTGCGGCCACAACTGCTGAGGCGTGAGCTGGCGCATTGTCGTGGTGGAAGAGGACTTTTTTGTGGGCCAATCGTGGACGTTTCTTTAGCAACTCGGTTTTCAAACGATCCAATAACGATGAATAATATCGCCTGTAATGGTTTTACCCTTTTTTAGATAGTCGATGAAGATTATTCCTTGCGAATCCCAAAAGACAGTCGCCATAACCTTCCCGGCCGAAGGAATTGTTTTCTAACCCATTGTTTAGACTATTCTTTGGTCTCAGGAGTGTAGTGATGTATCCATGTTTCATTTACAGTAATGAAACGATGCTTAAAGTCTTGCGGATTTTTCTGGAACAGCTGCAAACCATTCTTGCAACACTTCACACGATCTCATTTTTGGTAAATCGTGAGCAATCGCGGCACCTATCTAGCGGATAGCTTTTTCATCTTCAAATGTTGGTGCAAAATATTATGTATCCGTTCGTTCGAGATTCCTACAGTACTAGCAATCTCACGCACCTTTACTTTTCTATCAGCCATCACCATATCATGGATTTTATGATTTCTGAAGTGGTAACCTCAACAGGGCATCCAGAACGTTCAGCGTCTTTTGTGCTCATATGGTCACTCCGAAAATTTTGAAACCACTTATAAACCATTCTAATCGAAGGTGCACAATCACCACAATGTTTATCAAGCTTCTGTTTAATCTCCTGAGGCGTTTTGTCTTTGAAAAAGTAATGTTTAATCAATACACGAAATTCTTTTTCGTCCATTTTTTGACAACCACTCGATTTCTTTGATTGAAACGAATGTAAAACGCAAAATAATTGGCCGATCTGGCTGAAACTTGGTGTGTGCTCTTCCAAGATATGCCAATAACTGAAAATAACCTTGATACGCACTAGTAGCGCCATCTCTCTGACTTTGCACGGACTTTTCAAACGACCCTCGTAGTTTTTTAGAACTATTAGGTCTTCCGCGTTTCGTTTACTTCTCGTATCAGCTAACGTAGCCATGTCGATTTCGGAAAGAAAAACAAAAAAAATTTCGCCTAACCATGCTTTTATTAATAATACAAACTCGGAGGGGTCTCCAAATGTTACGTCTTCCGCAACGGTCGTGGATTGACAATAATTACTCAATCGCGACTGTCTCTTTTCGGTCAACGCGTAAGTGCTTTACCACGGGTATGAGACTAAGCAAGAGTAGGCTGGCAATAAAACTACGGCGGCGACTAGAAAAATGTAACGATTAATATAAATAGATTTACGTGTAGGTTGATTCATTATATAACTCGTACTGGAGAATTCAGGGATGGATTGTAGCTGTATTAAGTAAGAGCAAGACCTTTTCTAATTTAGAATAAATGACAAATGGTATTTTACTTTAAATATTTATTAATCAGCACCAGCAATACAGAGACTTTCGTAGTCTTCGGGAGTGTAGTACTAAGTCCTTTCAACAGGCACTCTCTAACCTCTTTTATAGGGTAAAATACATAAAATTAACATATAAAGGGTTACACTTATAAGGAGAGCGCGCATCACCAAGAACAAGGTCTGGCTTTAATTAGGCGTTACTTTAATTGAAGGAATTACCCCTTCATAAAAATGTTAATTTCCCGCTTTTATGTGGCCTGACCTGTTCCCGACGTCACAAGCCATTTCTTCTTTCTTGAACAGAGTTACGTAGAGATAATGGTTCGTTGCAAGACTTATACACCATAGCTCTCAACCTAATGCATCCAATTCCACTACTCGTCGACCACTATGTACATAATATGTTTCAGGTTCCTGTAATTATATATATTTCAATCTGTGGCTAACATTGAAATAATAATAGAATGAATGGCAAAACTTTCTGCAATGACGTGTTTAATATAATCGTAGAACTTATTTTCAATGATCAACAACTACTTTGTATATTCCAGAAAAAAATTCAACTATAAACATGAGTACACATATATACTAACCTTACTTTTACATTTGTTGTTTTTTATATAGTCTGATAAAGTTCAGTCTTTCTTTTAACAGACACTTTGACAAATTGTCCTTTTTCCTTGCCAATAGTATTACGAACATTATAAAGCATTGGAAATTTATTTAAAATTTATTTCAAAAAATCGCACACTCGCTCGAAGTGTTTACTTTTACCGGTTTCGGCGAGGTGAGTGAGTCACCTGTGAGCTACGAGCAGAACGCCGGGAGCTTTGTATGCAAAGTTGTCAAATTTAGGCACGTCAGGTATACGAGGTGTGATCAAAAAGTAAGGTGAATTTTGAAATTTAGCGGGCTACGTCCGTTCGATCTTCGACTTTTTTATTTGGTTATGTCGGTACACTCGTCTAGAACATACGTTCCAAGTTTCAGCTTTGTAGTATGTTTGGTTTGTTTGTGAGAGGCATCAAGGTTAGAAGTGTTTTGCGTGCTCCACGATTTGCTGCTGTCTAAAAACATGGATCAAAGAGTTTGTATTAAATTTTGTGTGAAAAATGGAATCAAATGTTCCAAAACACTTGAAATGCTGAAAGTGGCATACGGTGAGTCTACTTTAAGCCAAAAAAATGTTTACAAGTGGTATAAACTCTTCCAAGAAGGCCGAGAAGACACCGACGACGAACCTCGTTCTGGACGCCCCAGCACATCAACAACTGATGAAAATGTTGAAGAAGTGAAGAAAATAGTGTTGGGAAATCGTCGAATTACCATTAGAGAAATTGCTGATGATATTGGCATCTCATTTGGTTCGTGCCAATCAATTTTGACGAGTGTTTTAGACATGAGACGTGTGTCAGCGAAGTTTGTTCCGAAATTGCTCAATTTCGACCAAAAGAAACGTCGCATGAGCATTGCCCAAGAGCTACTGAATGACGTCAACGATGATCCAGATTTACTCAACAGGGTTATAACTGGTGACGAAACATGGGTATACGGTTATGACGTCGAGACTAAGACTCAATCGTCCCAGTGGAGGCATTCTGGATCACCAAGACCAAAAAAAGCACGCCAAGTTCGATCAAATGTAAAGGTTTTGCTTACAGTTTTCTTTGACTGCAGGGGCGTGGTGCATCATTAGTTCTTGCCACAGGGTAGAACAGTAAATAAGGAATATTACCTGCAAGTTATGCGCAATTTGCGCGAAGCAATCCGCCAGAAACGTCCGAATTTGTGGAAAAATAAAAATTGGCTTTTGCACCATGTAAACGCCCCTACTCACACATCGTTGCTTGTGCGCGAATTTTTGGCTAAAACCAACACAGTAACGATGCCACAGGCACCGTATTCCCCAGATCTGGCCCCCTGTGACTTCTTCTTGTTCCCAAAACTGAAGAGGCCCATGAAAGGACGGCGTTTTGCCACGATTGAGGAGATAAAGACGGCATCGAAGGATGAACTAAACAAGATCACAAAAAATGATTTTTTGAAATGCTTTGAGGATTGGAAAAAGCGTTGGCACAAGTGCATTATATCCGAGGGGGATTACTTTGAAGGAGATAAAATAAAAATTGATGAATAAATAAATATTTTTTGAGAAAAATAAAAATTCACCTTACTTTTTGATCACACCTCGTATGCACATACAAAGGACGATTCAATAAATTTTTATTTTCAATATTAGATACAAAATGATATACTTAATAACGAGTATGTACTTCCTTGTAACACTATTTCATATGTATATAAACCGAAAAAAACAATTATTTCAAGTAAACCCAACCCTACAATGGGGCCCCGACTTGATACGGCCCGTCCTGGTGGAGCCGCCTTAAGATATTCAGTGACGTGAGGGAACATTGATTACCTACAACCCTTGTCCCCATAAGTCTGGCTTATTTAGACTGCTTGCACCTGTGTTCGCGTCCAGGCGATGGCAGCACCTAAAAAGCCTCGACCGCCACATCTATAGCACATTTGTGTTTGTCATTTAAAAACGTTAAAATCGTTGTGTAAATAACACCTGATATCTTCAAGTTTAACATGACTCATGGTCAAAGGTTAAAGCCGAAATGAAACTAAGCAAAACTAATTACGAGATCTAATACGTATCAAAATAAAAATCTGAGATTAAAGTGTTATTGTTGTAGATTATAGTGCGGGTGGAGTGATGAATATAGATTATTTATTCATAATTTTCTTCTATGAATTGCACACTGGATTAGTTAAGACGACTTTAGTATGAGTCGAATTTTGCAAACCTCGAATGTTTTAAAAGTTATGAAGATAAATTTGTTTGGTGGCCTATAAGCCACCCCGGCAGAGCATTATTACAATAGCACTGGCTACTAATACAACATTACTGATTGCTATTCTTTGGCTTTATCCTATTCTGTAATACAGGTTGGAAGTTTCTCTGATTACAAATCATTTTTCCTGCATATCTATCTTTTTTATGCAGGTCTTTTAATTACTTTCTTTACAATTTTTTACCAATTTTTATTATTTATTATTTTATCTAAAAATTTATGAATATTTTCATTTTAATTTGGATGAACTTAATTTGCTTATATTTTGATTCGATGACCACTTTTCGTTTATCTCACATTTTTCTACTTTTTTTTCTCCTTTCTCTTTCTGTATCTTCATTTTCTTTGGCTATTTTTATTATATAATTTTGTATCTAAAAATTAATGAATATCTTTATTATCATTTGGATGAACTTGATTTGCTTATCTTTTTATTTTAGGCCCTTACTTAGCACTCTTGCAGGTATACATGCAGGCACACTTGTACATAGTTTTTCTTTTATTCAAATGCTTTTATTGTGAAACTTTTATAATACATTAAAACTTTTTTTTAATAATAATATAACTCAAGTTCAAGATATTCTTTTATTATTCTTTTTTATGTGCTTGTTCTACAGTATAGCTTGACCATTAAAATTTTATTCCTATTTATTGGAACTATTGTGATTCCAAATGATATATATCATCATAAAGATCAACCTAACATATCCTAATCTCAACATTAGTATATATTAATCTTAAAAATCAATAAACATGTTGATATTAATAAAAGTAGTCTATGTTTCATATTAGATAATATTTATAATTTAGATCCTTACAAATTTGAACTATTTATTTATTAATAATTAATATTATTGAGAAACAACTATTCTTCTAACTACTCTTTGTAACAAATTATAATATTGTTGTATAATTCAATGTGTACAATGTGTAAATTCAATTCAAAAATTAATATTATTAAGAATTGTATATACTTTATTCCCAGGTTTCAGTATGAATAAATCTGTAGTTAAATTTCAACTATGTGATTCAATTAAAAAGAATTTTATTTATAGTATTTGTTAACTTCAAATGAATAAAATGATCATAAGACCTATACGAGACTAAATTAAATAAAATTTTGGAATGATATTAGTTATAAAAAATAAAATACCCATTATTAATACATATCAAGTAACTTTGAGAGAATGTTATATTAGATTTTCACATTGAAAAAGTCTATTATACTCCAATTATAAAATTGCTATAATCTATACTTTAAATCATCTTGTCTAGAATGGATTAGCTTTGTTGTCGACAAAATATAATAATTTTATTTTAATTTTAAAATATTAATTCTAAAGAGCTATTTAAAGAATGACATACATAGAATTACAATATCTAATACAAACTCAATATTTAGCATGTGGTTTTTATAAATTTATAAGTTATGTTGCGTTCTGGCTTCATCATAAACTCGAATAACTTTTAAAATAGATCTATCATAATTTATATATCATCAATAGAAAATTAAGACTAATCCTCAGTCAAAAAAAATTGAAGGTGAGCATTTCAATAGCTATGTCACTTCAAAGTTTTATTAAATAATAATGCAATTTCTTGATGAGAATAATTGAATTGAGATTTTTCTTTAAAATTCTAAAATGGTATCAAATTGGAATGGCTCTTAAATATATTTTCTAAATCAAAGCATTTGATATCGGCTTTCCATTGGTTTTTAAAATGTAATCGACCTTTTTCTTAAACAAATATTTAAAGAAATTTTATTTTCAAATTTATTACAATTAGTTTATAGTAGGAGTCTGTGATAGAAACTTCCTAATCAACGATAGTTGTATATATGTCATAGTATAAATGAATTTAATTACTAATATGAATGATTTATTTTCTGTAATAATTGTAAGCATTGATTAATATAAACTATATATATATATCAATTTATATGAAATTAACTACCAATATGAACGATTATATTTTCTTTGGTAATTGTACACATTGATTTATATTTGTGATAGTGATAAGTATCTTTATTATAAATTATTGAAAAACAGTGCTAGAATGTGTGAGTAATACTTTGATTAATAAGAAATATATGAAGAAATATATAATTCCCTGAATTAAAATTTTTTTTATTTAGAATATTCAGCCTAATTTAAAATTATATATCTTTTCATACATTTTATTGAGAAGTTAAATAATATTTCTTTTTTTTTGCTCCAAGATTATTTACAATCCTTCTATCATATTGCAACAATAAGTAAATAAGTAAATATTACAATATGGTTATTTGAACATGAAATTCAAAGGAATGCTCCAGTGCATAATCTAACCCTTATTTTTCATTTTGAAGCGTGCATCTATCAAAAAGATTAGAATTTATTTAATTATACATATTATACATTTATGTTTCTTAAGTCTAGTATTAGTGATGGATATCTTGAGAAGTTTACTAATAAGTTTATTTAGGTAATTTTTGAGTCTGAAATTATATTTTGCATAAAACTTTATAATTCTTTCCTATACTGTTCGACATTGTAGATTGTTTTTTAGAATTTTGCTTGGGAGAAAACCATGAGATCCATCCGATACTATGTAAGACTTTCTATTGAAATCTTTCCGTAATTTCAATATTTGAGTTTGAAGCAGCACCCCATAGTTGTATGCCCTAAGTCCATTTTTCTCTATTTCAGTTATAACTGTTTGCATTTGATGAATATGTGTTCATTCCATGTGAGCCTCTGGTTTTGGTGTATACCTAAATACTGTACTGTACTGTGGAACGTATTTATCAATCAGTTCAGTAGGTGGACAGGTATCTTTTTCAAGTGTAAATGTTGTGTGTATTGATTTAGTTTTATTTACTATAATACAGGTCAACAAAATTTTACAAAAGTCAAGAACCTGAAAGCAGACCTAGTATACTTACTAGATATTTATGTGCTGATTTCGAATTTGGGCTCAGAATTGCTCTATCACCCGTACTTTACCAGATATCTTTACCTAAAAGTGTTTCGTTTCATTTCTTTGTAATGGCCCTGGGTACCTGAGGACTCTGATGCACCACAATTCAAATTTGAGAAATAAAATTTAAAATTTAAAAGAGTTTTAAAGTTTTTATTGGTAAAGAAGATGGGAGAAGAAGAGTAAGGAGAGTGTAGGAATTATTTTATGAAGTATATGTGGAAGTAGGATATAATAATGATTGATTTTAGTTGTCGGTAAAATAGGTGTTTTGATTTTGTTATATAATAGTGTGGATGTAGAGAGTTAAGATTGATGTATAAAATGGTATTGGAGAAAATAGAGTTATATAGATAAGTTGTATAGTTTTAAAAAGTCTGTTATGAAATTGGATGTTATTTCATTTGGATTAACTAATAATTCTTCTATGGATGTTGGGAGATTTTTTTTCTTCTTTTCATAGTATCTTTTTAATTCAATTTTTAATGTGTATCTTTATAGGGAATAATTGGGGCAGTCCCATATAATATGATTTGCGTCTTGTGAAGTATAACCACATGGGCACGAAGGAGAATCGGTCATATTTTTCTTATATAAGCTGGCAGCTAGATTATAATGATTAGATCGAATTCTTATAATTGTTGTTAAATGTCTTCTTGGATAATTTATTTTGGAGAACCATCGTCTAGGATTTTCTTTTTGAAAGTAGTATTTAAAATAGTGAGAGCTTTTATGTTGGCTTTGGTTTGCGATAAGTTCATTATGTGATTTTTTATGGTTGTTTATTTGTTTTAAAAAGTCTATAGTGAAGCTGGGTGATTAGATTTGTGCCTATTTGAATGGCTTCTTTTGCTAAAAGACCTACTGTATCGTTGTAAGGGATATTAGTACGGGATGGTATCCAGATTAGTATTATTTGAATGCCTAGAAGTTCACATTCATGTAGGAGGGATTTGATATCAAGAATGATATGTGATGTGTTTTTTGACTTAATGGGTGAGTAGTTGGAGATGGCTAATAAGACGCTGAAGGAGTCAGAAAAGATATGTTTTATTTGGTTTTATTTTTTTAATTTCATGTATAGTTAAGAAGATTGCTAGAGGTTGTATCAATGAGATTTTTTTCTATGTGATAGTTATGTTATATAGTGTGATAGTTATAATCGAAAGGGATAGGATGTGCATGAGTTGCAATTTTGTTTACCGTTAGATTTGTTATATTTCTACATGCTTCTATTGGGATAAAAGTATTTATATTTTAAATTTGTCTTTTTGTTTTAAGTCACAATCTAAATTTTTCAAATTGGTTAAGATTGGTGAGTTTTTAGATGATAGTAGTTTTAGTATGAATTTATCAGCTAGATGTTGAAGTCTTTCTTTGATATACAAGATTTTGGATTCAGCATGTAGGACATTTATTGGTGTAGAAGTTCTACATCCTAGTGATAGTCTTATTCCACTGTTTTGAATTTTTTGAAATTTCATACAAAGAGTTGAGTTATTTATGTGTGTTAGATAGAGGCTGTATTCCATGGCACTTCAAATAATAACTGAGGAAATTCTTAGTAATATTTGTGAGTGGCTGCCCCACCATGTTCCTCTAAGTACTTTAATTATGTTCAGTAATTTTAAACTTTTTGCTATTAAGTAGTTTGCGCGAGCGCAGCGACCCAGTGTACGCTGTATAGCGACTACATACTTGTGTCGTTGCAGGATCGGGAGAGAGGAGCGCGACGAACGGCGAGGTGCGAGTGAGAGCGAGAATAGCGAGAGAGCGAGAGAGAACGATTTTGAATGATTTTTGACGGCGAGAGAAGTGAGAGCGCGGCGGCGCGAGGCTTAGAAAATTAAGAGAGAGGAAGGGCAGTTAGGCGCGAGCTCTCGAGTAATTAGGACCGCCTAAGGAGAGACTGGAGGAGACAAGATTTCGGCAGGAAAGGAACTACTGCCATCAGTGCGACTGTGTCAGGAGAACAAGGTGTTTAAAGCTGAGCCAGTGCAAGCAGCGACCATTCGCCGTCCACGAGGCAAAGGCCGTGCTGCGGCCCTTCCTGCAGCAACCTCAATCGTCGCCAGGGCACCGTTTCCAGCGGGTCTACGCTTTCGCCGGCGTCGCCTCTCTACCGACGGACCG